AAACTCAGGGAGGCAGTGAAGGGCAGGAAGGCCTGGCGCGATATGGTTCATGGGGTCACGAAGGGTCGGACACGACTTAACTGAACAACAACAAGGTAGCATGCGTGATTAAATGCATGTGATAAGAAAGGGTAATATAACCAAATCTAGTTTACTCCAACACCACTCACTGCACCTCTCCATGGCTAACCATCCTTGCTTTTTCACAAGCAATTTCAGAAAAACAGCACTTTGTTTAAAACTGAAATTATGATCAAATTTCCAACATGACTGATCACACCATCCCTAAGGAACTTCAGCACATCAAAAACTTACTGCAGATTACGATGCTTCTAAAAAAACAAATGCAACTTGGTGACAGGTCAGTGTTCTGAGCTTTTGACTCTTCAAGGAGCTGAAATATGTCCCGGTCTATCTGTCTGGGCTACGTGCAATGGAAAGAGCCAGCCAAGCACAGAATGAACACTGTAGCTCTTACATTCTGTCCTGGGTGCCTCTTTTAAAACAGGCGGGGGTGGGGGTATGAAAACGAGTGGAAATCAAGATCACCCGTGACTGTGAAGAGGCCCCATGCTTTACGTTAGCAATTCAGTCTGTCTTCTTGGAGGTGGCGCTCCTTATAGGAGTGCCATTTCTTTCTATTTCTGGCCGGATCGTCTTGTCCTTTTACAGCTCCATAACAGCTTGAAATTCTACAGGTTCAGTTTTCCCTGGCATGAACCTGGGAATTCTGTTGGATTTCCGGCTGCCCAGTAGGTTTGGAAGCAGAGAAAACCTTGCAATTCCGTTCCCAGCAAGAGCGGAAGCGTCCCTCCGGGCCCATCCTTCTAAGTGGGAATTTTGTCCCAACATACCTGGAGGACGCCGGGTTAGCGAACGCTCTCGTTCTAGAGACGCTAAAGGGCCAATGTCTGATGAGAACCGAGCGTGGGCGGAGCCACTTCTAACGTTCGAGATTCAGCCTGGGCCAGTAACAAACCCTCCGCGTGGACGCCCCCTCCTACCTGCGTGCAGAGCGCTCTTTTGCTCTTAGCTTTAGAATGGAGGAAGCGGCCAGGCCGGAGAGACAAAGAAGGCGGGCCAAGCTATCTACGTCATCTGCTACTCTAACCCAATGTTTCTCAACCTCAGCAACTTTAACAAGTATGGACTTCAATTCCCAGAACTCCCCAGCCAGCATGCGGAAGCGTACATTCCCACGTCGCAGAGTGCCGTAGCCTAGCAACAGAAGCCAAACACTGAGGAAGCGGGAGACGGCGAACTTTACTGAAAGAAGAGAGCAAGGCAGGTGTTGGTTGGACGGGGCAGAGGGACCTACGCGAAGGATACAACCCCCGCGTCCCCCTCAGTTTTGGATGGAACTGGTGGACAAGGTAAATGAACCCCCACCCGCAGCTGCTTTGCGCAATCCCATTTTTTGCGACCTGCGTATCCCAAAGAGTCTGTATTTGATATTTCAATGTATACTGACTCTCACGGACCCTAAATCATCCCGATTTTTTTTATTGAAGAGTTGTCTCCTCCATGGAATTTTATTGGGGATACAAACGATGGCACTTTTCATTGGGATCCTCTTCTCTTTGCCTGCCACTATAACTGATACTACAATTTTAACAGAAACAGCAAAAGAAGCAATGAAAGTCATGGGAAGATTACAGAAGGAGGGTGATATTGTCTGGGTCTCCTTTAAGGTAACAGCAAGTGGCAGCATCTAGATAAGCAGGATCAGACCTGGTTAGTACTTGGATGGGAGACCATTAGGGAACCCTGGGACTGTAGGCTAGATTGGGAAGTTAAAAACAATCCTGAAAGAAGGCACTGGCAAACCACTTATGTAATATTGCCAGGAAAACCACATGGATATATCCATTGAATCACTGGTAGCTGAGCAAGCAAGCCATCATGGAGACTTTGCCTTTCTTTTATAAAAATTCTGTGAATGAAGCAGGGCCATTCTAGATGGGTGGCTTCTAAAGCTACCATTAAAAGGCATTGCACAGTTATTATATGTTATTTTCTTTGATAGATTTGTGCAGTAAAAAAGATGGAAGAAGCAGTGGCAAAAGATAGGAGAATTACCAATGAAGCTCCCAAATGAAGGAAACACAGAATAGCAATGATATCTGACAGATAATGCTAGCAGATCTTCCAGAAACATTCTGCCTTAGTTAAAATCCTCTTGATTTAGTAAGCAGCTTTGGGTAAATTTCTGTGTCTTAAGATAACTGCAGATAACTTATCTTTTATCACAGCAGCTCACTGTGTGTGCCTGATGTTTGTGTGCCACCTGTTGTCTGATAAAATAATCTGTGTGTGCCAATGTGTGTGCCATTTGTGTGCCTGATAAAATAATAATCTCCTTGAACATGTAAATATTTAATCGTATGATTCCAGCTCAGTGACTGGTGATTTTGGCAAAATAACAATAGTAAGGCTTTAAAATGCTACATCAGGTTTATATAGCAATAATCCAAGCAGATCCAGTCCAGCTGACTTTCTCCCTAATGAGACCGACCTCAGATAAATCATCAAGAACAGTTTGGGCTACTTTTAGTAGTTAAATAGACTAGAAATGTTAAATACCTTATTAATTATATCTATATTCATGGTTATTATTTGCTATTATATCAATATAGTTTAAGAATTATTGGATGCATGTCATTTTCAGTATCAGGTGCATAAAACAAGCAGGAAAACTGGAATATTTACCTAATTGATTTATTTAATTGATTTATATAGCCGTCCTACCCAGCAACTCAGGTTGGTATATATAATCAATAAGACAATAAAAAATACACAATAAAACAAAGTATAAAAACAATAACATACAAGCACATAAGTGCTGAGAAAAAACTCATCTAGCAAGTGATATCACTCCAGGACTCAGTGCTTGAGGAAAAAATCCAGGTCTTTAAGGCCTTCTGAAAGGCAGGCAGGGTCAGGACTAACTGAATCGCAGCAAGGATGCTGTTTCAAAGAGCAGGAGCAGCAGCAGAGAAGGTAAACTACCTGGTTGCACTAGATGACATTGCCCTTTAATTAAGTATTACGAACTTTACGTTTGGCAAACTTAATGTAATAACCCATTTTGAAACTGGGAACATTGACACGGCACAGTCTGGAATGAACTGACATGCATCTAATGAAATTGTAAGATCTTGTAGAAAAATAATGACGTCATAATATGCCATAATACCTAACTTAGTTATTGCAGAGATACACTTTGTGTATCAGTGAACAGAATCTGATAGCTTTATTTATTTATTTATTTATACAATTTATAGAGCTGCCTATCTCACAGCAGTGACTCTGGGTGGTATACAAAGATTAAAACCATCATAACAGTATACATTCATGACAAACAAAACCACATAATCAAAAGAGCTTACCTAACTGCCTGTTTCAAAAGCCTGACCAGGAGTAGCTTCTACCAAACAGAACAGGAGAAAGGAAGAAAGAAAGGAAATTCTCTCCTGTAGCCCCTTGTTTGTGATTTGTTCCAGAGAATCCCTGCTCAGAAAAACTTACAAGAAAAGCAAAAAACAAACGAAAGTCTATCACTTGAGCAGATTATTCATGTAACACTGAATTCCACCCTATAATTATTATAGCATTAGTAGAAAAAGTAAAGTGCATAATAATATGTAATGTTTCATTGGTGTTTTCCCAACTAGCACTGATGATGTTACTTAGTCGGATAATGAAACATCTACAAGCAAACAACCAAGCTCAGAGAGCACAAAGGACTCCACAAAAGAACCAGAAAGATGCTGATAATCTATTTGATTTAAGCATTTTTTTTAATTCCAAGGTTACAGTTCATTTATTCTATTGTGAAAATCGCTTTTAATAATTAGAATTTTGGCTGTACTTCATTAGAAAATCACACTGCCAAGTACAAGTCCTTGGCACAGGATGTGTCAGTATCTCAGCAGCTGGGTGTCAGAACAGTTTTACACACTTGGTGTTATTGTTACAAATTGCATATCCACAGGCCTCATTGAAATTTGTGATCAGTTTGAGGAAGAAAGCTACTGTTTAATTTTAGGCATGCTGCTGGTTTTGAAGTTAAACTTGCTTATTTAATTAATAAGATTTTGCAAATAGTTTCTACAGTGTGGTTGTCAACTTTTAGAATGATGATAGACAAGTGTAATAATAATAACATTAGCCATTTAGATGGCATGGGATCTGATTTAAGAATAATGTTTACCATTAAAAGAATTATGGTATTGTCAAATGTAATACACAGTCCAATACAAAATGAAATAAAATTCAAAATAAATCAGTGATAGGATAAGCACAGGATTGCATTCAGAGAGAAGCTTAATCTGTCCTAGATAGATATTAGTGACATACATCTAAGTATATAGTTTTATGGTAGTGGTAAATATTTAAATAAATATATTTATCCAACAGGATATTTTATTTTCTGTCATCAATGAAAATGTTAGCTAAGATTTTTTAATGGGGTTATAAGCTGAAAAGGAAAAGTAAGTTGTAAGTAGGTCATATGGAGGGATAAATTTTAAAAAGATAGGAGAGGTATAGCACAAAAAAAATATTAATCAGTGGATGTGGCATGAGGCAAGTTTCTAAGGTATGAATAAAAATAGTAAAGAAAGAAAAGAAATAGATGAGTGACGTATTTATGTGTAAATAAGCTAAATGTGGGACCACAATATATTGTAATTAGTGCATATACATTTTGTTTAAAAGTTCAATTTTTTTGGAGTTCATGTGCAACATTCAGAGTATTTTAGGGAACAAGGAAAGTGTTAGTTAATAAATTGAAGAGGTAATTGGAAAAGCAGTTTATGATTATACTTCTTTGCAAATATTATGATGTATTTTTTAACAGAGAATGATGCATTCCCTATCTTACTTTTAATATTCAGCTAAGAGCATTATTTAATCTTCCAATTTGCTCAAGCAAACAAGCTATCTAGTGGTGATTTTTTTTTTTTTACTGTTAAGCAATGACAGTAATTTTTACATGTCATACATTCATAGGCATATCAAACCTAGTCTGATGTGAACATTGGTTATTATATTTATCTCTTGGTTCAGTGTAGCAATAAATTGAGTCTAGAGTTAATTTGCTGGTTAGCAGCTATTTTACTATCCCAGCCACCAAAGCAGTAGTATTTTTTTTATAATATGATTTTACAATATCATTAAAATATTTAAAAATAAATTAAAACCACAGTGGCACAGTTACCTCCCACATTTCTTTTGAGACCCTGTTTCACCACCACGCCCCAACTGAAAAGCAAATAAGGAAAAAGGAAACTCTGGCTAGAGTGGTCCCATTTTGGGCCTTCTCTAACTTTCTATCTCTGTATTCAGAAGTAAAAAAGGAGGGCTTCCTATATTATAAAGTGATTCATCCAGATGTGGATTATAGAATAAGCTCTTGTTTAGTTAAACCTAAGTAACATGAATAAAAACAGTGGTCAGGGTATTCCACTGATTTATGATAAACTAGGTCTACTGTTAATCTGGCTTGGTGTGTTGTTTGAATGAGGTTATTGTTACAACAAATAAAATACTGGGAGAGATAGATGAATGGAAATTGAACCTGAGGAAAAATGCAGATATGCAAAGGAAGGTGAAAAGTAAGGAAGCAATCAGACCAGAGATAAAAGCTGCTATGAAGCAGGTCACAGAGAAGCAGTCCATCAAGATCAGATAAGATCTAAAATAACAGCTATCAAAGATAAGAACTGCCATGCAGCTGTTCATGGAATGGTCAATGAAAGGCTGAGATGACATGGAAAGGAATGTGACAGATGCTACCTGCAAGAGATTATGAGGAAAGCTATAAGGGACAAAATTTTGTAAGACTTCACCATTCATGTGTTACCATCAGATTTTGGCACCCTGTCTCTCCCAGCACCTCTTACAAACTTGGTGGCCCATTCACAGTGAGAAAACTGTGCGAGATGCTTAAGCAAACTGCATTCAGTAAAAGCTTCATAAGTTTA